TGCAGGAAGATAGGTCGATGTCCCAAGAGCGGATTCCTTCGGAGGCAGCGGGAGGGGGACAAAAATAAGGGAGAGGGGGGACAAAGATAAGGGAGAGGGGAGACAAAGATAAGGGAGAGGGGGGACAAAGATAAGGGAGAGGGGGGACAAAGATAAGGGAGAGGGGGGACAAAGATAAGGGAGAGGGGGGACAAAGATAAGGGAGAGGGGGGACAAAGATAAGGGAGAGGGGGGACAAAGATAAGGGAGAGGGGGGACAAAGATAAGGGAGAGGGGGGACAAAGATAAGGGAGAGGGGGGACAAAGATAAGGGAGAGGGGGGACAAAGATAAGGGAGAGGGGGGACAAAGATAAGGGAGAGGGGGACAAAAATAAGGGAGAGGGGGACAAAAATAAGGGAGAGGGGGACAAAAATAAGGGAGAGGGGGACAAAAATAAGGGAGAGGGGGACAAAAATAAGGGAGAGGGGGACAAAAATAAGGGAGAGGGGGACAAAAATAAGGGAGAGGGGGGCTCAACCCTGTTAGCACCCACTGGCACCATGCCCCTGCACCGTAGCACCCACGTGGCACCAGTTTATGCAAGCAGCAGCACAGTGGGGACTGTCCCCCCCCACAAGCCCACCCTGGTTCGCCCTCCTACCTCGCCCTAAGGCACAGCCGTGCCAGCCCGGTGGCTTTGGGGACACCCCAGTGGGTCCCCAAACCCAGCCAGACCCCGGCATGAGGCTGATGCATCGATCGGCTGCCCGGCAGCAAGCACCTTGCGCGGTGACTCACAGCGGCACCGGCTCTGCCAACCCAAAACCCCGGCCCCCGGGGCGACGGGCGCACCTTGCCGGCACCTCTTCAAAGGTGGCAATTAAAGGAATTAATGGTGCCAGAGGATTCGGCGCGCGTGGTGCTACTGCCGGCACCGGTGTGGGCGCTCCCAGCTTGGGGTCAGGAAGCCCAAAACACCCACAACCCCATCAGGACCCCATAGGGGGATTCGTGGGGGACTGCCAGCCCCCCACCGTGGCAGCCGACCAGCGTGGCCGCAACCGCCCCCCGCTAACGGCCCGGCAAACCGGCGGGCGATGGCGTAAGACGGCCGGGCCTCGGCGGGGTTGCACAAATTTTGCACGAGGCGCCGGGCAAGGGTTGGGGCCGTTTTTGGGGTGGTTTCACTGCTCGGGGCCAGCGGGGTTTGGTCCTGCCCTCGCAGGGTCCCACGACGGGGGACAACAGGGCAGTCCTGGCAACGTGTGTCCCCCCCGTGATTTGGGGGACCTGCTCCAGCGCAGGGCTGCTCCGACGCCGTGGCCTGAGACCCCCCCCCAGCTCCGGCCACAGCGCAGGGAGGGCCCGGAGAGGGGAGCAGGGGGTCCCTGCAGCACGGCCCCCCCAGCTGAGCTCAGCATCCCCCCCCAGCCCAGCATCTGGCCCCCGCAGCTGCACGGGGCAGGGCCCCAGGTGATGACGAAGGGAGGGGACAGGTCACAGCGGCCCACCCGCAGCCCCAAAGCCTGGGGACGGAGCCCAGGGGGAGAGCGGGGCAGACCCCAAGGTCTGGGGGGGG